TTACTACGGTTTTAAAAATAACCCATTTAGGATCCCTTAACTGGTTTTGTTCGATTACGGTTTCAATTTAGATAAGTTTGTCTATATTTTTGGATGTCGTATTGTTCATTCTGTGATAATTTGTACTTTTTTTTGTCTCTTTCGTTGCTCTAAGTTCGATTACGGTGTCAACTTAGACAAGTTTCTTTCGATTAATGTTCTGTGACTATTATTTCTCGCATGTTAAGGAAGATGGGTCAAGATTATAGCTACAGCCAAACGTCCTCATCATCAAACGACTTTGACATAACTTCACTTCTCGAAGCTGAAGCTCAGTTCTACACAGACGAAGCTCAGAGTAACGTGGATATGGCAGAGCCGGTTGTGAAAACAGCATACACTTCTAAAGATTTAGGCCGAAGGTACTTCAGTTGCGACAATGTGGATGATGGAGACTGCCACATCTGGAAGTGGTGGGATGTGACGGTCATGGAGGAGATGAGGGACTTCCAGACACAGCTTAGGAGGCTTAAGGAACAAGTACTGACTTTGAGCAGAGGCTAGTGCTGGTAGAGAAGACTGTATATGAGTTAAGCAAGGAGCATTCACGAGTTAAGCTACTGGTGTGTCTATTAGTTTTAATAGGTTTGGTCTTCTTGGTTCTGCGTGGTAAGTTAATCTCTTTGTGCTTTTCATATGACATAGTATTATATCATTTGACTTCTTTATCTTATGTGTTTGCAGGAATAGCTTCAAACGGGACTGTGTTATCACCTCACGGGTTGCTCTAACCATAAGGTACAATCCTTTTTAAAACTTCACAGTCTTTTTATCTCTGAAAAAATTGCTTTGAGTTTATTGCTATAGTAAATGCTATTGAATGCTTTCTATCTTCCCAACCTGCTAAAATATTAATGTTTAGAAATAGGTTCCTCTACGCGGTTTGTAGCTAGTATAGTACTTAGTTTGATTTGATTGGTGTTAAATGCATGTAGTTTGCTTCCTATCTTTCTAACTACACAGATTTGATTGGTTTTAATTGCTAAATAAATATAGATGGCTTACTTAAGCCTCTGTGTTGCTACTAGAGTGACACAGAAAATTATCTAACCATGGCTAACACGCCTTTCTCCCATGTAAACCTACTGCAAAGTCAAATTCCAGTAGACCTTGATTCACCTGAACCTTTATGGTTTGGTAGTCAAAGTCCTGCTGAATCTGGTGTGATGTCTGGTAGCCAAATGCCGGAGGAGTCTGGTGTGAGGTCAACTCCCCAAGTTTCTGAGAGGAGGAAATGGTCTCCCAAGGAGGATAAGATTCTTATTAGCGCCTGGCTTAACACAAGTAAGGATCCGGTGGTGAGCAATGAGCAGAGAGGTAGTGCTTTCTGGAGGCGGATAGTTGACTACTACAACGCCAGCCCTCACCTGGCCGGGACAATACCGAGAGAGCTTACCTCCTGCAAGCAGAGGTGGGCTAGGATTAACAGCGACGTATCCAAGTTTTCTGGATGCTATGATGCGGTTCTGAGGGACCATAGAAGTGGAACAAATGACAATGATTTGATCTCTGCTGCCTTAGACATGTTCGTACTACAGGTTCACCATGGATCACTGCTGGAGGGAGCTGAGGCACAACCAGAAATGGTGCTCCAACTATCCGAGTAAGCCCGTTGGAAAGGACAAGCGCAGAGTTGTGTTGGAGGTTGATGGAGAAGATGAGCGGCAAGAACCAGAGAGTAGAACTATCGGTGTTAAGTCTGCGAAAGGTGGTGGTAAGAAGAAGAAGAGTAGTAGAGAAGAGGAGTTGTCAAAGCTACATGGAGTGTTGGGACTAAAGGAAAAAATCTCTAATGGTAAAGTGCTTGAGCGTTTGATGGCTAAGAAAGAGCCATTAACTGAGATGGAAACTTCTCTAAAACTCAAGCTATCCGATATGTTATGAAGTTCAAATGTTTTCTTTAAGTTATTTACAGCTATACTCACTGTTGTGTCATGTGTTGTTGTTGTTGTGTCATTGTTGTTGTTTCAGGTTCACATGTTTCTTTACAGCTATGCTAATAACAACTGTGTCATGTGTTGTTGTTTCAGGTTCATGTCAAGTTGTCACGGGAGAAGAGGAGTTGTCAAGTCAGTGGTTGGTCTTTAGCTAATGTGAAGAACTCACGGGTGCATTTTGGTCAGTAGCTCATGTGAATAAGTCAGGGGTTGTTGTTTTTCACTTTATGTAGTATAAGTAGTCGGGTTGTTATTCTTCTTGTTTCCTCAACATCAAAACTTGTATCACCTATCCGAGTGTTGTTGTAATATTTTGCTACCAAGATCTTCTAAAACTCTTTTAATCTAGTTCCAAAGTGCTTCAGCGTTTCTCTTTATATTCATCTTTATATTCAATTTAGATAAGTTTCAAAGACATCCGATATACATAGATTCTCTTTACATTCATCTGACTCAGGCCACAAGCAGGACAACGACATCTCATACGCCAACGCCACAAAGACATCAGAGATCATCTATTCCGGTAAACCTGAAACGCCACAAAGACATCAGAAATCTTTCATAACACTTGTATATTAATTTAGGCTAATAATAAACCATAATTTGGAAGTAAATAACTTTAGTTATCAAAACTTGTGTATTAGTTTAAAAATTAGAACTAAAATAAGGAACTAAACTATATATCAAATAAAACTTGTGTATTAGTTTTTCAAAATATTAGAATAAAAATTTGGAAGTAAATAACTTTAGTTATCAAAACTTGTGTATTAGTTTAAAAATTAGAACTAAAATAAGGAACTAAACTATATATCAAATAAAACTTGTGTATTAGTTTTTCAAAATATTAGAATAAAAATTTGGAAGTAAATAACTTTAGTTATCAAAACTTGTGTTTTAATTTAAAAAATTAGAACTAAAATAAGGAACTAAACTATATACCAAATAAAACTTGTGTATTAGTTTAAACATTAGAACTAAAATAATGACCTAAAATTGGCTATTTTTTTAGAAAATGTCATCATCATCATCATCCGATGAAGTTGAAGAAAGACTGGACGAAGTTTTCGACGAAATCCTCGAAGAGACATACAACGATATAGTGGAGGCTCAAACTCAGAGGCAAAGGAGACGTGCTTATATAGAACGAAACTGTGAAGCAAGACACAACCGTTTGTGGCATGATTATTTCAGTGAAGAGTCGACATTCGACGCTCATTTATTCAGACGGCGTTTCCGCATGAATAAGGATTTATTCATGCGTATTGTCCATAACCTCTCACAAAACATTCCTTATTTTCAACAGAGACAAGATGCAACCGGGAGGTTTGGTCTTTCTCCACTTCAAAAATGTACGGCAGCAATTCGTCAGCTTGCTTACGGTTCGGCGGCTGATGCGGTTGATGAGTATCTCCGACTAGGTGAGAGCACTGCACTTTTGTGTTTACATAAGTTCACTAATGGAATAATCCGGTTATTTGGAGATGAGTATCTACGAAGACCCACACCAGAGGATCTTTAACGACTACTCGATATCGGTGAAAAACGCGGGTTTCCTGGGATGATCGGGAGCATTGACTGTATGGATTGGGAGTGGAAAAATTGCCCAACCGCTTGGAAAGGACAGTATACACGTGGATCAGGAAAACCAACAATTGTCTTAGAGGCTGTAGCTTCACAGGATCTTTGGATTTGGCACGCCTTCTTTGGTCCTCCAGGTACCTTAAACGACATCAATGTACTCGATCGGTCTCCTGTTTTTTATGATATTTTAGAAGGTCGAGCTCCAAGGGTAAAGTACATGGTCAACGGACACATGTATAAGTTGGCGTATTACCTCACAGACGGTATATATCCAAAATGGTCAACATTTATCCAATCTATCACACTCCCCCAATCTCCTAAACAAGAGTTATTTGCTAAAGTTCAAGAATCAACTCGAAAAGATGTGGAGCGGGCTTTTGGAGTTTTGCAAGCTCGATTTGCGATTGTGAGAAACCCGGTTCAAACATTGGACAAAGAAAAGATAGGGAAGATCATGAGAGCATGCATCATACTACACAATATGATAGTCAAAAATGAACGAGACGGATACACTCAGATCGATATATCTGAATTTGAAGGACACGTCACCAGAAATTCACAGGTGGGAACCGAGAGGCCTACAAATCTGAACAATATGTTTGTCATTCGAAATGATTTTCGGGATAGGCGTATACATGAACATTTGAAAAAAGATTTAATTGATCAGATTGGGAACAAATTTGGTGATGAAGATTAGTAATTGTTGTATATTTTATTATTGAATCATGTATAATAAATAAAAAATTAAATTTAACTTTTTTAAAAAAAATATATATTTTTTTTTCTTAAGGACTCCAAATCGAATATCATCAATGCACACATTATTTCGGATTACAATCCTTAATTATTCAAAAAGTAAAAAAGAATAATAATAATAATTTTTTAATGCTAAGGATTCATCCGCCCAGCATCACAGATGCGTATGCTCTAACACAATGGTCAATGGTCAAAGATCCTTTTCATTTGAGATAATAAGCTCTGGTATTGGAGGGTTTTTAATATTTACATGTTATGACTTGCATGAAAAAAGATATATAATGCTGTCTTGAAACCCATAATATTTTTTTAAAGAATTAGAAGATATACACATATTTTTATAAATTCATTTTTGAATTTTTGTAAATGACGAATAAAATTGCAAAACATAACTAATTCAGAGAATTTTTTTTAGGAAAGAGGACAAATTGATTATCATGATATGTTAAACATGATGATCTCGTACAAATTTGTTGAATAAAGATTCCAACAATATAAGCCGGTCATGATGTGTGTTATCTATCAACCACTAAAGTTTGTATTGTCGCACAGTACGAACGAATATCTTTTACCGTCCCAATACTCTTACCGATAATTTGAACCATTTGTTAAAATGGAATAACAAAGTCGTACCCTGATTTTTCTTTTCATCTAAAATGACAGTGATGTAATGTAACGTTCCAAAATATGTGTTGTTTCAAAGCGAACAATGATCATTCCTTTTGAATATTGTATCACAAATAAACAAACAACCGAATATAAGTGTACTACTCTACATTCTCTAATCTTCTTATTTATATCATTCATCAGAATAAGCGTTCCCTTAGTACCTATTGGCTATTGCAAACTGAAGATGTTTGATGTGTGTTTCACCGGAGAGTCCATAGTCAAAGCTTCCGGAAACAACCCTGAGAGACCTCATAAACTTTCTCTATCAAATCTCGACCTACTTTCCGGCCGTTTTCCTGTGACCTACTTTTACTTCTACCCCAAGCCACCTCACTTGGCTTCAACCTTGGGCTCCATCGTTGAATCCCTCAAAGCCTCTCTCTCTGAAACTCTTAACTACTTCTACCCTTTTGCTGGTCAGATAGTTCCAAACGAAACCTCTCAAGAAGAGCCTATCATCCTCTGCAACAACAATGGAGCTTTGCTAGTCCAAGCACGAGCCAACACCGATCTCAAAAGTCTTGATTTTTACAACCTCGACGTGTTTCTCCAAGCAAAGCTGGTTAGAGTTAACCCTGATTTCCCCTTGCAGGTTCAAGTGACAGAGTTCAATTGTGGAGGCCTCTCTGTAACATTCACATTCGACCACGCTCTAGGAGACGCTAGCTCTTTCGGCAAGTTCCTCACCACATGGTCAGAGATATCGAGAAAACAACCAGTTTCTTGTGTACCAGACCACCGGAGAAACCTCCTCCTGCCGCGCTCTCCTCCGCGTTACCACCCTCTCTTAGACAAAACATTCATAAAATGCAGCGTGGAAGAGATTAAGAACATACCAACCCCCAAAAGGCTCATCAAGCGACTCTACCACATCGATGCTTCGAGTATAAACGCGTTGCAAGCACAAGCTAATGTGAACGGAGAGAACAGGACAAAGATTGAAGCTTTCTCTGCTTATGTCTGGAAGAAAATGGTGGATTCTATAGAGAGCGGTCACAAAACATGCAAGATGGGCTGGCTTGTTGACGGTAGAGGAAGACTAGAGACTGTCACCTCTAGCTACATAGGAAACGTCTTGTCTATAGCTGTCGGTGAAGCCACCATTGAAAATCTGAAACAAAACCATGTGTCAGAGATAGCAAACATAGTTCATAATTCGATTGCTGAAGTGACAAACAATACTCACTTCGCAGATTTGATAGATTGGATCGAGAGTCACCGACCTGGATTGATGTTAGCTCGGGTGGTATTGGGACAAGAAGGACCAGCTTTGGTCTTGTCTTCAGGAAGACGGTTCCCTGTGGCTGACTTGGATTTTGGGTTTGGTGCTCCTGTCCTTGGGACTGTATGTTCAACTGTTGAGAAAATAGGAGTTGGTTACCTCAACCAGCGACCTAGCGCTTGCAATGACGGCTCGTGGTCGGTCTCTGCTATAGTATGGCCTGAACTCGCTGCAGCTTTAGAGTCGGACTCTGTTTTTCAGCCGATGTCTGCTAAGCATCTTCATCTCCGGACCTGACAATAAAGCTCACCTAAGGACGAACAATAAGTAGTAGCTTTTCATCATTTTCTTTATTATGTTGTCAAATTATGGTTACAATAAGGTAAACCCGTGGAGCTTGAGTTTTTTTTTACACATTAACTACACTATATGTTACATCTGCAATGCAAACAAAAACAAAATCAGTCTATGGTGAAAACGTGTTTAAGGTTTCTTCATATATTTCTTGGCTTCTTCAGAGAAGCTTCTGGCGATTTCTTTGTTGGAGAATGTTAAAGGAAGCTCTTCCTCAGCCTCACTTCTGTCTATCCAGCTATGATGTCTACTTGAGTCTTTTGAAGTATCGTCTACATCGGTGGATTCAGTGGGTGTGTTTGGTTCGTCTGGTAACTCGCGGTATAAGTGTTTAATTATGAAAAGAGCAGTGTCATTATCTCTCCAATAGTTTCTGCATAATATGCAACAGTCCTTTGAGTTATTCCCTCTAAAACGTCGTCAAGGTAATGAAAAGTTTCACTTACGTATGAGCTCCTATGGCTTGTAGATACGGATGCTCAAACGTTTTATCCTGCATAACACGAAGACTCTGACTGTTATTATATCCAAACTGTCATGCTTTAGCCAAATCCAATGCCACAGAATATAGAAGGTTGTTAATTAGGTGAAGATGCATCATGGTTTCTTCACCTGTAGCATGTGATCTATTCGACCATCTCGAGTTCCGGTCAGCCTTTCCATCATTAAAGAACCATAGGACCTTCCATCCTTTTCGTCATCTGTTTCTTCAGAATCTGTTCAAGAAACATTAGAAAGTAGATGGATTCAGCAACTGTGCAGATGCATGCCTTGCAAAGTAAATCGAATTTTTACCTTCTAGTTTATCCGAGCTTTTGGACTGGCAAATAGTGAGAACTCTTGTCTGCATGGAATCAAGGATGAGTCTTGTATAAGTTGCAAAAGATAACAGCTTAAGATCACAACAAAATGAAGAGAAGTAATTAGAAGTCCGAGAAAACACACCCGTACAGAACCAAAATGATTCATTACTCTATGTGAACGCGCAGCAAAATCCTCTTTGAAATCCTACAGAATATCACATAAGCAAACGAATTAGTAGAGGGAAGTAAAACTAAAAAAATATCGCACCAAAATATCCAACTACCTGTAAACCAATATGCAACCGCTTGCCACCTCTGTGGTAAGGGACAATAACAGGTCGTTTAGGAAGGTACTCTTTGCAGACAAGTGGTTCCACTCTGCGTGGACAAAACACAAACTACAGTTTTGGTGTTGCACACTTGCAAAAGAACGTAATAGAGAGAGAAATCATTATAAAAAATCTAGAGAGAGAGATCCCAAACTAACCTATATGCAACAGGATCATAGGGGTGAAAAATGTTGAACATTCGACGACAAGCTGGCATCTCTTCAATAACATTCTCCTCTTCCCAATAATCCTTTCCCTTACCTAAGACATGTTGAAACAGCTTTTACACCATATTGACTTTGCAAGAAAGGTAGACGAGCAATTTAATGACAGAGAAAATGCATATAAGGAGAAAAAAATCGATAAGGATCTCTTGTTTTATCAATCCTGATGTTCGTAAAAAGCTGAACACTCTACTGAACAAGCATTACCTATCCCAATACGTATATTTCGAAGGGCTAGAAACACTCCAAGAGGAGACCCAACTGCAAAGAAAGTGTCAACCTGAGCAGAATATGCAGTTGAAAGTTAGGATGACATTTGCTTTAAGTGTTGTGGTTTTCTATTTGAGATCTAGACAAGTAAATTATACGATTCCACACCTTGAACTCGAGCTTTTGGTACTTTATATACGGAGTAAAGCTTGTAGGTCCATCTTTAGTTAGGGCTTTCTCATTGATGTGCTGCTTATGCATCACAGATGTCTTGGCTTTTTCTGTTGATAACACCATCAACGATGTAAATGAAACAAGTTTTCAAACACAATTCCAAGTATGAAACATAAAAATCATACCATCCGTCAATATTCTGGCATTTTCTGATTGCAGTTGCGCTACTTTTGACCTCAATGATTTAATCTGGGATAAACAAATTTCACCATTTAATGAAAAAAATCAACTGTTTTCCTGTTTTGGTCAATCAGCAAAAAAACTCAAAAACACTTCTACAGAAACACCTAAGGAAGTATGAGATGCTGTTAGGCAAGTGTTGAAAACTTGCAAAAACCAAAACCGCATAATATCATCAAAGAAAGTGCCAATATTTACCTCTTCTTGTAATAACTTGATTGTATCCTCGTTATTAGAATCGCCATTCATCTCCCAAGATTGTTCTAGGGAAGAGGGAGACGAACCAGGTGATCTACAGTCAGCTCCATCTGGTCCATCCAGTGAGGAAATTGCACCACTAGAATCATGTTCGTCACCTTCCTCGCTGCCTCTTCTCTCCAGACCCACGTTCTCTGAAACAGAATCAGAGACCGAAGTAGAAGCTTCTTGAAGAACATGGTGATGCTCCACTACCGTTGATTCTTTATCCATCATGTCATTATCTTGACCTGTGATTTCCTCAGTGTTATTCAACAGGTTAGATTTCTCTGGCTCAAGATTCGGTGATTGATGCGAACTACAAGGTTTGTCAGCGCTTTCTGAAATCGGAGGAGATTCTTCATCTGGAAAAAACCTCTTGTATACTGCATCCATTGGAAATGGAGATGACAAATTGTGCTGATGACATAAGATGTCATAGGAGAGAACGCTCCCCAGAGAATGTCCATAAATGGATATCTGTAAAATGTCCGTGAACAGAACATGAATTCTTAATTCAATGAGAGCTTACACTAACTAGTCATAGGTTGATGAAATGAAAATAGTAAACCATGTCGGCACCTTTCCATCATAGTCCGGGTTCCGCTTTATAAATTTCAGATACAGTCTATTCAGCTGGTTTGAAACCTGAGAGATGTAAAGGAGCATAAATTACAACGATGCAGAAGATGAAAGTAACAATGTCTAGTCTCTAGTAAGGTTTTCAGCTGTAAAAAAATTCTAATATTTAATCAACTTGGCACAACTAAAACAAAGAGAGTATCAAATTTGGGAAATTGCAATACCGAATCAATTATAGCCTGACAATAAATGGGGCTCATGTAGTATAACACATCATGAACAGTTGCACTCAGCATCTCTCGCAAACGCCGTACACCTTCTAATGTACATTTATCAACAGCAGCTTCACCACTTAGTTTCAGACCTTTTCTCCACTACAGGAACAATTGACAGAGAAAGAATAAGTTTAAACATACTATACAAATATAAACCAGAAAACTGATTTATATATATTTATACCTGGCATGGGATGAAAAGGACTCTTTGAGTGCCACGCTGGTGAGAGGTTAGATGACGTTCACCTAAAGCTGCTGTGATTTGACGGAAGTTTCCAACGTCGTCAACAAGATTAGACTTCTCAACTTTTTGGCCAATACCATGAACCATAAATACAAGATGTCGAACAGGGACCTGGACACAATGACACAAAATAGAGTTGTTTCAGGGAGCTTAAAAATCTAGCGATATTCTGCAACTAATTTGACAATAGATATCAGATGGTCTATATGCAATAGAGATTCATTGAAAATGAGTAGTATATTAAGACATACTTGAGAACAATAGTCATCCATTTCTTCCTCTTTTTGTTGGCGTAGTTCTTCCTGAACAGAAGCACAAGAAATATGACTCAATTACAAGAACTCTTATCAGCAAACACAATTTCTAATGAGACTTTAGAAAAGAAATGTGAAAGTTAGTTCCAGAATATTTTAAGAACCTGTGTAGGTTTAGGAGAGTAGGAGCCGGCATAACCACGTCTCAGCTTAATTCCATTTCCAGTATAGCCAACAATGCCAGAGAATCCAGAGGGATCAACATTAAGCCAGGCTTCCCAAGTATCATCTTCCCCGGTAAAGAGGGCATGAAGTCCCTACATTAAAAATTTAGGATAATATAATCATTTAGCTGAAAAGAAAAGTGTAATCTAACACTTTACACATGAACTAAAACACATACCAAATTGGAACCCTGCAAATCAACTCGAGCTGCAAAGAGACCAGAGGGTTGAAATCTTCTCCTGCGCCAGACCTGCGTGAGCAGAAGCCAAACTAAATTGATGCTACTGTCTTATCATCAACAGTTTACACACCAACAACTTTCAGGAGTCACAAAAAGAAAAAGCATAAACTGTTTCTGGTAGCCAAAAAGGGTCATAACATGGAAATGTATTCACCAGAAATATATCAAACCTTGTTACGATATGCAACCTCCAACTGTTCAGCGACAGTTTCTGGAATTGGAAGCCAGTCTAGGCCACCTTTACGAGCAAACCAATGGCCTCTAAGCACACGCCGATTATCTCCATTCCAATACACGGGAAAACAATGTCTTCTCACCAAGTCCACCTGCAGCATTCCGGTTCCTTGGTCAGAGAAAATGGATTGAAACATAAGGTCTCTAATCCAGGGTCCAACAAAGTTAAATCTACATGAAAATTCCAAAACCCTAGTTAAGTGTCTCCTAAGAGTAAGAGAAGGTGGTACCTCATAGAGCCCACCCTTAACAGGTACACCGACTCTCTCCTCTTCAACATCATATAGAGTGGATAACACAGAAGCTTCTGGAAGAGTTTCCATTGACTGCTTAGTTGATTTCTTTCTAGTATTAACTTGTGGTATAGGGCCTACACTGCATTCTGCATACTCTTTCCACCAGAATGACAGTAACTCATCCTCTCTCTATTTCCCAGGAGGAGAATTAAAACAAAAAATGGTTACATATCGCAGCTTCATTATTCAAATCTTGAACCAAAGAGACAAATACATTGTATAACTAAAAAAAGAAAAGAGCTTAGAAGAAGAACCTGGAGGAAAGAAGCCTCAATGGCAAGAGAATCCCTCATACCAAAACGGAAATACTCACTCTTGCCTACGACATCAGTGCGAGGTACTGAAGCAGCTAACTCTGCAGAGAGATAACGCATCAATCAATCTATTTTTCCATCATTACATAGACAGTGAAAAGAAGGCAATAAAGACTCACCGTTCTCAGCTAAAGGAACCTTACAGAAGTACCAGCGAACATCACTCCCGTCTGACGGACTCCTGGTCTGAGCGAGATACTTTTGTCGGCCATGGCATTGCTCAATCACATCTTCTAACCTGGCGATGTTGGAAGGCGTGTTCTTCAACAAATCCGGAGAGGTTGTATTAACCGCCCGAGTTCCTAAACGTGCCTCTGTGTCTTCCATCTTCTTAATCAAAATCAGTAAGTTTTGGGATCAACAACGAACGAAGTGATGCAAAATTTAGCAAAACCCTCCCTACAGAAAAAAAAATCTAGAATCTGAACATTACCGAGAACGAAACAATCTTCGATAAGCTTTTAAGGAATCACGAGAAAAGCTGGACAAGGAAGAAAGATTTCGACAGAAGCAGGAAGAAAACAAAACTAAAAAAAAGAAGAAAAAAGAGGTTGTGAATGTGATGACAGCTGGGAAATCGATTTGGAGGTTTGGTTTTGGTGAAAGAATATTCGTGAGAGACGTATGTTTGCTTTTGATTAAGCGGTTGCGTGTACTGTCATTTCTCAACCACTGCCACGTAGATGCCACGTCGGCGTTCCGCAGCCGGACCCAATTTTGGATATTGTTATTTTTCAGGGTTTGCATTATTTAAGGAAGTTGAAAATGATTGTAGATTTGCGAAGACGGCGAAAGTTGCAGTCAGTCCTAGACTTGGGCCTCGATTGAGCCCATATAGAAGAATCCACTGTAATGTGGCCTATGATGGAGTACCAAACGGGTAGGCTTGCAGAATTCGGTTTAATGTAAGATTTTTTTTCTGTCAACCGTCCATATTAAACTAAATTAAGTGGTGGTCAGTCGAGCCGATTCTTCGAATAGCATCTCTGTCTGGTCGGATCTAATCTATATGAGAAAATATAAATTCTCTAGTCTTTGCTTCTTTTGTTAGCGTGTCCGCTCGATCATTCCTATTTCAGGGAATATGAGACATGCTCACATCCTCAAAGTTTTCATGTAATCGCTGGAACACTTCAATCTATGTCCTGAAAGACGGCTAATCCTCCGGGTTAGTAGTCATATCCACTAGATCCGAGCACGTCTAAAACCGTATTGAAGTTATCCTTCTGTCTCTCATACATAAGGTTACCCAAAGTAAACCTTCCATCTCAGCATGCAAAGCTAAGAGGTTTCTTCTGCACGCTCGTAATCTGTAGACTTCAGAACCCATTTGATCCTTAAGACTCCACCCTAGGCTACTAACACTGCCATTATCGATCCATGATGCATCAATTTGGCAGGTAGGAATTCAGTGATAGAATGTAGAGATTTATAGTTTGGTTTGAGTAGAATTATGTTGAGGATGAGTAAGAATCGGAAGAATCAGAGAGAGAGAGAGAGAGAGAGAGAGAGATTGGGAACCAAGAGAATATAGAAAATGAGGAACTGATTTCCTTGGTTTCTTTAGGCAAATAGATTACATATTTAAAGACCAAATCTGGTCAAGTAAAACAGGAATAAAACATAAACAAAGAAGCTTCATCCAAGGCAAGTGGTCCGAGATAGCGACAGCACCTAAACGGCTCCAAGCCTTAAGGGAAGCATGTGATCTTTATACTATTTTATTCCTTGCCGACATGAGTCCTTGTCCATACTTGCCAACGGTTCTCTCTTCCTCCAACGTTGACTTAGTCAAGTTTAAATCATTCTCCTTGTCTCTGAAGTTACTCTAGGTCAGATAGGTTCCTTGATTGCCAAGTATGTACGGATAGACTTGTGGCACAAGCATTCTTGATCATAGCTTTCCCCGACCATCAGAATCTTCTTCTTGTTTATCTTATTTGCTTCATGTTCACACTCCCCCTCAAGCTTGACAATAGGAACTATGTCAACCTTGGAATACCATGAATCATTCCCTCATTAAAACCTTGCTCAGCAAAACCCATTGGGATAAAAGCTAAGCAAGGAAAGAGTAGAACACTCCATGGAGAGGGGATTAGTGACATGGAAGGTTAATGAGTCCAAGCTTAGGGTGAATGGACTCACAAACCTTTCTGATGGCTGCCTTAGTGAAGATGTCAGCTAGTTGATCCTCACTTTTGGTGTAGCATGGGAGTATCACTAGCTGCTCCACGACTTGTCTCACCTTATGGCAGTCCACTTCTATGTGCTTGGTTCTCTCATGAAAGACTGAGTTTGTTGCAATGTGTATGGCCGCTTGGTTGTCACAATGCATAGTCATAGGAGTGTTGATCTCTATTCCCAAGTCTTTAAGCAACCCCTTGATCCAAATAAGCTCACTGGTCAACTTCCTCATTGCTCTATATTCTGCCTCAGCACTAGAGCATGATACTACTTTTTGTTTCTTGCTTTTCCATGTAACCAGGTTTCCTCCAAGGAATGTGAAATAACATGTGGTTGATCTCCTATCAATCCTATCTCCAGCGCAATCTGCATCACAATATCCCACAACTTCAGTGTTCTTGTTGCAAGCCATCCACACACCTTGACCCGGAGCCTCTCTTAAGTATCTTAGGATCCTCTCCACCATGTTCCAGTGATGAACCTTAGGTGTTTGCATGTGTTGGCTCACTTGGTTAACAGCAAAGCACAAGTCTGGTCGAGTGATGGTTAGATAGATCAGCTTCCCAACCATCCTTATATACTTCTTGATATCTTCATATGGAGTATCCTCATACTCCCCCTCTCTCAATACTTTGTAGCCTTCTTCAAAAGGTGTCTTAGCTTGTCTTCCTCCAAGATCTCATGCCTCCTTAAGTATATCCAAGGTGTATTTTTTTTAGGACAGAAACAACCCCTCCTTTGATCTGCATATCTCAATGCCAAGAAAATACTTCAGCTCTCCTAGGTCTTTGATGTCAAATGCGGTCTTGAGAAAGCTCTTAATTGAGATGATTCCCTCCTTATTACTACCAGTTATGATTATATCATCCACATAGACAAGAATCACAACAATCCCTTGCTTGCTGGTGAGGGTAAAGAGTGTGTGATCAGCTTGAGACTTCACAAAACCTCTTCCATTGAGTGTGGTGCTTAGCTTGTGGTACCAGGCTCTTGGTGATTGCTTTAAACCATAGATTGCCTTCTTGAGTCTAAGCACATTTCCGGGTTTAACCATATCTTCCATTCCTGGTGGTGGCCTCATATAAAATTCATCCTCTAGTTCTCCTTGCAAGAAAGCATTCTTCACATCAATTTGCCAAAGATCCTATTCTAGGTTTACTGCCAATGAGAGCATGATCCGGATTGTATGGAGCTTGGCCACTGGTGCAAATGTATCTAGGTAGTCTTCACCATACACTTGAGTGTATCCTCTTGCCACTAGTCTAGTCTTCTTCCTCTCTGGCTTTCCATTTGCAAGGTATTTAATCGTGTGTATGAGTCTACTGATTACTGCCTTCTTTCCCTTTGGCAGCTAAGTTTCATACCATGTATTGTTCCTCTCCATAGCACCCATCTCCTCTCCCACTGATTTTCTCCATTCATCATCCTCCATAGCTTCTGCATAAGTTCTTGGCATCCATTCTTGATCCAAATAGCTTACAAGAGCTTGGTGTTCTTCTGGATATTGCGCAAGAGAGCACACGGCACTTGGTGAATGAGCAACAGCTTCTGCATTGAAGTAAACCCTAGTGTTGATCCAGTTTGAAGCCGGCCTCCTGATCCTCTCACTCCTCCTTAGAGGTTGGACTTGATCATTTTGTGGCTCAGTGACCTCACTTGAATCATTTGGTGCAGTATCTGGTTCTTCTATGTCCAATGGAACCTCATCGTGGTCATGAACTGCTGAGTCTTCAGACAGAATTCCATTCCCCCCCCCTTCAGGACCAAGAGGAGGATCTTGAGCAGCTTCTATTGATGCAGCTTCTTCCTGAACTGGTTCGCCCCTTCTTTGAACCGGTTCCTGATGCATACTAACTCCAAGACTCTCCAAAAGGTTCTTTAGGTTGTTGGCTCTATCTGAAGTAGATTGGGATAGGTTCTTGAGTTCACTCCAGCTCCTCTCATCATAGTAGCTTCTTGACTCTAGGAACTTGACATCTCTGGAGATTAGATTTCTTCTTGTCTCCGGGACATAGCATTTGTACCCTTTTTGGGTCGGTGAATAGCCAATGAACACTGCCTTTCTACTTTTGGCCTCCAATTTGTTTCTCATTTCACCTGGAGTCAAAACAAAACACACACACCCAAATACACGTAAGTGATCTATAGATGGTCTGGTTTTATTGAGTACCTCATATGGTGATATGTCCTTGAGAATTTTGGTGGGAGTTCGGTTGATTAAGTAGGATGCAATAACCACAGCATCACTCCATAGGTGCTTTGGTACATTCATGTGGAACATCATGCTCCTGGCCACCTCCATTAAGTGTCTATTTTTCCTCTCAGCCACACCATTTTGTTGTGGTGTATAGGGACAACTTGTTTGATGAATAATGCCTTGTGTATTGAGATGTTGCTTGAATGATGTGCTAGTGTATTTTCTTCCATTATCTGACCTAGAGATCTTAATCTTGGCATGAAAATGATTAGTAATATAGCTCTGAAAGTTTTTAAAAGCTTCTAGAACTCTATCCTTTGATTTCAACAAGGTTATCCATGTGTACTTAGATTTTTCATCTATAAAAGTCACAAAATATTTATGTTGTTCTCTAGATTCACATGGTGCAGTCCAGACATCAGAGTGAACTAAGTCAATTTTCATATATGGTCATGGACTTAGGGAAAACAGATTTGCAATGTTTCCCTAAAATACAAGCCTCACAATTACTTTTAAAAACAATACTAGGCAACATGATGTTTAAGGCTCTAGAATGAGGATGTCCTAATCTAGCATGCCACATTACATCTTTAGGTAATTCGGAAACAGAATTTAAAGCACAAGATAGATCATTAGCAAGCATAGTGTCTTCAAGCAAGTATAAATCTCCCTTGGTTCCACCTTTGCCAAGCAACTTACTAGTCTTAATATCCTGAAAATAAACCTCATTTGGAGTGAAAGTAACTTGAAAATTGAGATCATTAGTTACTTTCTTGACAGATAAAAGATTAGAGGCAAAGGTTGGCATATAAAAAGCTTGGGACACTTTATCAAATAATTTCAAGTCGCCAACTCCTTCTATAGGTATCCGATCACCACTAGCTACCATAACATTGCCTAGACTTGGTTTTATATTAGAAATCAGGTTAATATCTCTTATCATATG